TGCATGCCAGCAGATGCTAAGAAACTCCACCGGTAGGCCGTCGTTGCCTGGGGCCTTGCCCTTTGCCATAGACTTCAACGTCTGTCGAAATTCTTCTGCTGAAATCGGTCTGTTGAGAATTAGTTTGTCATGAGCTGCTACTCTGACCTGCAATGTGTCCCAAAAGTCGCTCTCTTCCGTCAGATCTGTCTCCCAATCCCAGAAGGTCTTTCTAGTCGCTAGGATCCTTAAAATATTCCACTGCATACTCACACATCAGCTCATTAGAGGATACCACCGGCTCTCCTAAACGGTGGGGACGCTGAAGCTCTCACATCTGCACCATACCCTATCTCGGTAGTAATCTTTTGAACGCCTCCCTTGACAGCCTGTCGTTGTGGACTATCCCTTTCTCCTTAAGAATCTCCTCCCATCTTATCTGTTTCGCTACCTGCAACTGTTCCCATTCCTCTGGCCTCCTGTTCCGCTCCTCTACCCACATCCAGTCCGAGATCGGGTGTTTCCCCAACGGTTCTTCTGCGTCTTCCACTCTCTTGCGGCACGCTGCCTCTTGCTCATTTCTCAGGAAAGACGCTATCCTGAAGAAGACCTCGATCTTTGCCGACACAATTTGGAGGCATGCGTCCCACCAGTCCGGGTAGTCCGAAAAGCTCTCCTTCGCCCCCTGCCAATCTGCCCATAACACTTCCACCCACCGCCTCCACCCCTTATCTTCCAGGTTCAAAGTGTTCAATTTGAAGTAACCTGACCCTCTCCGTTCCTGCTCTGAGACTTGCACTTCTAGCCTCACTGGCTTATGATCAGACATCGATGCATTCGATTCCTCCACCCGCTGTGCGCCGTCAGAGAATATCCCTTTCGTGAGGAAGAAGTTTAGGCGGCATTTGGCTCCTGCTGCATTCTGGGTGTTTGCAAACCATGTAAACCCAGGTTCGTTCGGGTGCATCTCCCTATAAATATCCTGCAGTCCCCAGGCTTCTTTCCAACCTAGAAATGCTTCTCTGTCCTGCCTCATTCCTTCCACTGCCTCTGAGTCCAGGTCTGGAATACTCATCAGGTTTCAATCTCGGCTCACTACCATATGCTCCTCCTGTGGGAGACAGTAAGGAATTGACTTCATGAAGTGCATCCGGTCTCTTGGTTCATTCGGAGGGTATACAGTTGCTACCACAAAGTTCAACCCTTCACACTTCAATTTTATCTACACCCACCTCCCCCATAGGTCAGCGTCGTAGCCTACCAGCTCCGCCTCCAGTCTCTTGTGAACCAGGATTGCGGTCCCTCCTCTTGAGCCTCTGGCGGGGGACCACAGTTGCGGTCCATCCCACCAGTCTCCGAGCTGCGCTAGCTTAGTCTCCGAGCTGCGCTAGCTTAGCCTCCGATAGCTTCGTTTCCTGTAGCAGCATGATATCCACTGAATGCTTATGAATCCAGGACTTAAGTCTTTTACCCTTCCTCTTGCCCCCCGAGTCCCCAAGCCCCTTCACGTTCCATGTTGCAAGTTTAAGCTTGACCATTTCCTCCATTCAGAGCGAGAGAGTCTTGGATGCACTCAATTACCACTCTGTCTTGGATGACGATCTCGTTCGCCGGGGATGTGGATTGCCACTTCTCTGCTAGCACCTCCTGCACGAAACCCGACTCCAGGTTTTTGTCCAGGGGCATCCTCTCGTTCAGGCCCTTCATAAAATGTGTTGCCACACCTGGCTCTACTAGGACATTTGAAAGCTCCGTAGATGAATCCTCCAACAGCACCCGAAGTGGAATACGCGTCAGACCCACTGATGGAAGACCATCCCAGTGTGGAGTCGAAATCCTCGCATCGATATCCGGGATGTAGAACTTGATCCTCTGGCCTGCTGCAGTGTCAATGGTGATTTTCGGCATGGCTTCCTTCGGAAAGAGCCTGAAATAGAAGCGGTCTGCATACATTTGTCTAACCCTAGCTTCCACTAAGTCTGGGCTCGGGATCCCACTAATCATAGTCGCTGGCAAAAACGTCTGACCGTTACGGTGAATGAGGCCCAGGATGAATGCTTCATTACCTAGGAGAGTGCAAACTAACGACAACATGATTTTTTCTTCATGTTGTTGATCATCTCCTGTTCGAGTATGCACCCCATCTGGAATAACGAATCTGCTAATGCTCTCCATTCTATCTTTTCTTCCTGGGACCACGACCGACTGATGAGATGAAGTGGGTTAGGCCTGCTCCTGCTGCCGCTCTCCCTGAGTTCCAACCCTGCACTCTTATGCCGCTTTGGCTCGGTTGCTGTCTATTCTCGTTCCCACTTACCCCTCCCCCTCTGCTTTGTCCTTCCCCTCCATCATGCACGCTTACTACATCTCGAACTGCACCCCTGGTGCCCCTCTGATAAACTACCTCTCCTTGATTGAAGTTTTGATTGAACCCTCGGCTGTGATTTCGTCCAGCTAAAGCTCCTTGAGAGTCCCCGATCACCGCCTCCTCTTCCGCTCTGGGGCAGCCATCCGACTCCGTGCGAAACCACCACCGGCAGCGAGTGCACCATGGTGTGTTTTTACACACAAATTCCACATTATAGATCTCACCATCCTCCAATTTCATGGGGAGTGTCGGTTCAAATCGCTCCTCTGCCTCTCTTGGCAGCTCAAATTTAAGGTTCATTAGTTTTGGACGAGAAGCATCCGGTTCTGGCGGGTGCTGGAGAATGATGTTACCCATCGCCTGCTGTATCAGGTCTGGAACATGGAACATAGCTCTAAGTGGCACTCTGAGGGCTGTGACCCAAAATTTGGTTTCGTCCTCTTGTCTTCTCCTCTCCTTCAATTATGCTCTTGTCATCCACGGTTTGAACAACAACTTGTATTCAATACCCCTAATCACCACCACATCTTCTAACTTTGCCACCAACCATTGAGCAACCTCCCTTGACTTCGCGACATAGGACATTACGTTTGGACCCTCCCTATGTACCCTCCCCCTTTGAAGCCACGAGCAAACGTTCTCTGGCGCGACCACCCATTCTCGTATGCTCGAATTAAGTCTTCACGTACCCAGGCCGGAAGATCACGCGCTGCCCCTTGGAAGATAACCGTCATTGTGCGTTCCTTAAGCCATGTTGTCGTGAGGCGGTCAAGTTGAGGGTTGACTTTGAAAACACGGATTCCATTCTCAACAATAAACTCCCCATGCTTCAGTCTTTCCGGAAATACTCCGTCATCATAACACTTGACAATTAGAAGTCTGATGCGGTCCTCCTTGGACATCTGGACTTCCGCTCCTGGAGGATTCCTCTTATTTCCCTGCTCACCTCCTCCTGGTACGACCACTCTCTCCCCTTGATCTGCCATAACGAACTATCCAGAGCGAACTATCCTAAACTTCCGAACCACGTCAACGGCGGGCGCCTTCAGGCGCACGCCCACAACAGTAACCACGAGGACACCCCTACACCTGGCTTACTTCGACACGTGTTGATGAGTTGACCAATAACTGGAGCCAGTCCGCGCGTCGTCAAGTCTCCCTCCCCCAAGGGTTGGTTGCTCGGAAAGTGCCGAGCGAGACGACCATGCTAACCGCGATGGCATCATGGCGGTGCCAAATCGCGGTGGACTGGGCCGACGTTTCCGCCGGTAGCGCTAACTTGGAGCGCTCAAGCGCCGTCCGCCGCGCCCCCCATTTCACAAGATTGATTTTTTTTTTTAATTTTTCTTTTTAATCGCAACATTTTATTGCAAATGAATTTCGAAGAGGCCGGGGACCTCACAATTCAACCCGGAGTTATCCCGACAACATCAGCCAGTTTAGCTTAACTGGTATCTTCAAAATGAATCTGTAACAAAAGCAGATCCCTTTAAACTCACCAGATGGAACACTATTTAATCCGTTCTCACACGTTTCTTTTGAACTCTGCTCATATGGAGTGGAACGTCTACTCTACCCTTTGCCCTACTCACCTACCTACACAGGCCTATCAACGGCCTGGGACCAGTCTAAACCGACCAGTGGAACAAGATTGATTTTTTTTTTTTTTTTTTTTTCTTTCTACATTCTTCTCTCAACTTCAGTTTCTTTACCTTCCATTACCTACTCCTAAGACTATCTAGAGGGGACCCCTGCAAGCATAGTTTTCCTCTCTCTGTGAAGAGGAGATTTCATGTTGCCCCTTGCCCCTAATGGTTAGGGTATAGGGTTGGGGCCGCCAGTGGGGGCCTGGCTAACACAAAGACCGAGACCTGCCAGTAGCTGTGCCTCCCTTTCTCATTGTCCCCCACCCTTCATCGAGTACCAGCAGAGGCTATGGCCAACACTCTCCCACACACCACACACAACCCACTCGCGCTCACACTCACACCCGTGTTGGTCATAGACCCCGTTAATACCGATCAGGGGTATCCAGAGGACTATCACAGTCCGTTGGCACTAAGTGCGCCGCAGGCAGCCATGGGGCTTGAACCCACAACCTCCTGAATGCCACTTGCACACCTAACCAACTGAGCTAGGCAGCTGGATACAAGATTTTTTTATTTTTTTTTTGATTTCATTTAAAAACTATACTCTTCTACCAGCAGAGGCTATGGCCAACACTCTCCCACACACCACACACAACCCACTCGCGGTCACACTCGCACCCGTGTTGGTCATAGACCCCGCTAATACCGATCAGGGGTATCCAGAGGACTAGGGGATCCAGTGGTCTATCTCTTGGGTAGTGGGTGCCAAGTAAGCCCAGGAAGGTACATGAGGTGAGGCCAATGGGGATTGAACCCATGACCTCCTGAATGCCAGTTGCGAGCCTTACCAACTGAGCTAGGCCGCTGGATGGATACAAGATTGAATTTACCTGGGCTGGTTAGTCCGATGAAAAAAAAAAAAAAAAAAAAAAGAACACCGGGACACATCTTCGGACGAACAGATATCGAACGCTTTTCGTCCAACACCATTTTCAGGTCCCCCAACACTCTCTGTGGAACGCTGGTACTGGGCCATTTCGTCCATTTCGGTCCACGGGGTGCCGTAAGGGGGGGGCCACGGCGCGCGCAGTGGGAGGCCCATTTGGAATTCGAAATGGATGAAGAGTTGGAAAACTTTGGTCCCCCCCCCACTGGCCCCCGGTGCTGTTGCACTGTAGCCTCGCCGTAGTCGCCCCCGCCATGTTCGCCATCGTCCTGTATCGGTCGAGGTAAGAGAGAGAGAGAGAGAGAGAGAGAGAGAGAGAGGGCGTTTTTCTTCTTTCTTCTTCTTTCTTCTTCTTTTTCTTCCTCCTTCCCACTTTTTCTGCTTCTTCTTCCCTCCTCCCCCTGCTCCCATCCCCTGCTTTTTTTTTGTCTTCTTCTTTTTGTTATTTTCTTCTCCTCCATCCGCCGTAGTCCTCCTCCCGCTCCTCTCCCAGTCGATTTCCTCCTCCTCCTCCCACGACCGTCCTCCTGTAAGCGGTTGCCCGCGGCAACCGCTGCGCGGTTCTTTGTTTTTCTTTCTTTTCTTCTTCTTCTTCGCCACCTTCACCCTCCCCCCCCCTTCTTTTCCGGGGTTTTACCGTCTGTCCTCAACCTCGCGGTCGCCCTGCCGTCTACCCCACCAGTCGCTACTTACCTCTTGTCTGTCTTGATGTTCTTTTCTTTCTTTTTGTGCACTGCCGACACGTCGTGCCTGGTGCTCTTTTATTACAGTATTAATTAATAAGCTTTCTCTCTTTCCCTCCCCTCCTCTTCCACGTGTGTAATTGTCTCCTCCTCTCCTCGATTGCCGCTGAAGCTTGCCGCGCCACCTTCACCCTCCGCCCCCCTTCTTTTCCGGGGGTTTACCGTCTGTCCTCCTCCTCGCGGTCGCCCTGCCGTCTACCCCACCAGTCGCTACTTACCTCTTGTCTGTCTTGATGTTCTCTTCGTCGTGGCATCCTTGTCGGTCATGTCGGCTGCAGACGACGACTTTCTCCTCTGCCTCCTTTTTTCTCCTTTCTCTACTCTCCCCACGTTCTCGAGGTTTTCCCCTTCTCGCCTCTCTCCTGTTTCTCTGTGTCGGTGGGCTGTACCACTCGTCTCCTCTGCCGCTACGCCATCCCGCTCGACCTCTTCTTTTGTGCTACCGGCTCTGCCTTTCCACCTCCTCATCCTCCTCCTCTTCCTCCTCTTCCTCCTCTTCCTCCTCTTCCTCCTCTTCCTCCTCCTCCTTGTCGAATAACGAGGTCATTAGAAGGTCGCAAGGGAGGGCAAAGTCTACCCGTGCTGCGGCAAACCGCGTTGTCCTGCTAATATGCTTCGCGCTGCCATGCCATCCATCACGTCTTCGTCTTGTCCCTCCGCCTCCTCTCCATCCTCCTTTTCTTCCTCCTCCCCCCTACTCCTCCTCCGCCCCATCCTCCTCCTCCTCCTTCATTTTAACGGGAAAACTGGAAAATTGCAATCGATAAATCATGGCATCGGCATCAGAATCATGGTTATCATCCTTCGCAGTGATCCCAACTGATTAATGGCTTTTTATGATCTATGAGGAAAAACCGTCGAACCGACGCTGATTGGATGGATTTTTTATGGCAAATGGAAGAAAATGATACACCATAATGATAACTAACAGGTCATAAATAACACAAAGTTAGTAAGTCAACATACTGTAAATCACAATTTTAAATGAAATATCCAATCTTTCTTAGAAATACGCGCTCATATGGGATGAATCCAGCGAACTGATAAAAAACAACGTCATTACCTAATTGCGAAATGCGACTCCTCCTCAAAGAAGACCTGCCATCCAAATCAAAAACCAGTGTGTGTGTA